ATTTTGTTGACATTTCGCATCACTAATTCTGCACTTCTCTCTTTCGTAGTGCATGCTGGAAAAAGTCGGGACCTGGAATTTTGACATTTTCCTCTTCGATAGGTTGACAAACGGTATGTTAAACATGACCATACATTTTTAAAAGTCCTGTGACGCAGCACTGAGGGCATTTAACCAACCTTAGATTCCATGTACACCAATGGTGCCATCTGTTGGATTCTGGCCGACACAGAGGATTCACTCAATGAAAAAATAATTCTATAATCAAATCAGTGAATTTGAGATCCCGTCAGTTTGAAAAATATGTTGTTATTTGTCCATTGCCGCTGTAATGAAGAGAATAACTTCCTCAAATTAAAAACAAACAGAAATGTCATATCTCATCACTCCACTGATTTCCACAGTTTTTATCACAAGGTCAAAAGAGATGCACGAACCAGCAGAAAGCTCACTCTGTTCCTCTTGTTTAGGGAACAGCCTGATCACCCTGACCCTCCACCTGCTGAACCAGTACGGCCTGGTGGAGCTCTTCCAGCTGGACATGCTCAAACTGTGGAGGTTCCTAGTCATGGTCCAGGAGGACTACCACAGCGACAACCCCTACCACAACGCTGTCCACGCTGCCGACGTCACACAGGCCATGTACTGCTTCATGCAGGAACCCATTGTGAGACACGAGAATGAGTATAGTCAATGTGTAGTTTCAATAAAGGACTATTTTGTTGATTAATCATCATGATATGTTGGTGTTAATGCAGCTTGCCAAGTCTCTGACCTCCTGTGACATCCTGCTGGGACTCCTCGCCGCCGCTACACATGACCTGGACCATCCGGGGGTCAACCAGCCTTTCCTCATCAAGACTGACCACTATCTCGCTACACTCTATAGGGTACGACCACGTAACAGTCTTTAACCTGCCAGAAATGACCCGGTGGATGTACTGAAGTGACATTGTATGATTGTATTTCTTCATGTGCAGAATAACTCAGTTCTGGAGAACCACCACTGGAAGTCAGCAGTGGGCCTGCTCAGAGAGACCGGGCTCTTTTCCCATCTGCCCGCCGAGGACAGGTCAGTCTGACACCGAAGCCATGTCAAGTGCAACGGTAGAAAATTGGAAGTTATTTCAGAAGGCTTCACTGATTGGGTAATGGAGAGAATTCCATCCAATGCCACAGTCAGTGCTCAACAATGCGGGGCTGTATGAAACTTGGCAAGCTGAACACATTCTGAGAATACTCTGAGAGCTCTTAACATTTCGAGCAATGAGTCTTAGCTTAGGAGGGATTTAAGAAGGATTCTCAGAACAACTCTAAACAAGGAAGGGACGAAAAGTTTTACCTTGAGGAGCTGTGGTTGACCCTGGTGCTCGTTATGATGCGTTCTTTAAAAAAGCTTTGATGGTTGCAAATTACAACAAAAATCACTAGATATAATGATATGGACGGCTGTTTCCGAAAGAATACAAGATATCCCCAAGGAAAGTCAAAACTACAAGATAAAAATGTTGAAATTATGAGGTTCCATATAATGGCCTTGTAAAAGTCTTCAGCCTCTTGAACGTCCCTCCCTACTCCTATCAGTGTTCCACCTCACTCAAGGTCTGAGATGCTTTATGAATAACTTTCATCTTACCCAAGAGTCTGAGATAACAGGAGAATTTCTTAGAATTTCGTCACTAGGACTTGGTCACATGACTTTCTTAACACCACCACCACTGATCATCTTTTCTTTCCAAGCAGTCTGAACATGGAGAGGGAGTTGGGCTCCCTGATCCTGGCCACCGACATCAGCCGACAGAATGATTACCTGTGCAGGTTTCGCAGGCACCTGGACCAGGACAACCTGTGCGTGAGCAACGCCAGCCACCGCCACTTCCTCCTGCAGGCCAGTTACTTTCTCTCACACACACACACACACACACACACACACACACACACACACACACACACACACACACACACACACACACACACACACACACACACACACACACACACACACACACACAACTTCAGCATCTCAGCGAAACTGAACTCTTGATTTGTCTTTATCCCCCCCCATACAGATGGCTCTGAAGTGCGCGGACATCTGTAACCCCTGCAGACCCTGGGAGCTGAGCAAACAGTGGAGTGAGAAAGTGACTGATGAGTTCTTCCAGCAAGGTAATCATCATCTCTTCTGCTGCATAACAATGATTTTATAATGACTTCCAACTGCCAACAGAAGACACAGATCTGCACTGCATGTTTAACCATAGGGGGTTAAATAATACGTTTAAGTTGAATTATGAGAGCCACCAATTTGGCCATAGCAAGTTAGATAGCTTACATTTGCGAGCTAGCACGTAAGCAAGCTAACTAGTAGATAGCGAATGTTAGTTAGCTTGGATAGATGGCTAACTTTCTCTAGCTAGCTTGTTTAGTACATAGCTAACATTCACTTACTAGTTTGATAGATAGATAGTTTACGTTTGCAAGTTAGTTTGTAAAATTAAAATGGTAACTTTCAATAGCCAGGCTGTTAGATAGATAGCTAACACTCGCTAGCCAGCTATGGAACACTAGCTGTGCTAAACATTCCCCTTTCATTATGAATTTTTGCTCTTTTCTCTTATCATTTGTTCATTTTGTGTTTTATTCTCTGCAACAACATGTGTGTATAATAGTAGAAGATACAGTATCACATCTCATATATTGATTCTTCTTTTGTTATACTTTTAGGAGACATTGAGAAGAAGCACAAACTTGAAGTAAGCCCAGTTTGTGACAGAGAGATGAACACCGTCGGCAACATTCAAATCGGTAAGAAGGGGTGTTTTTAATGGTGTGCATTCGAAGTAAAGTAAGAAAGGAAAATACAGCACTTGTAAAGAATGATTAAGACTCAAGCTTTTTGTATCCGTGTAAGCCGTTTCCACTGTATTCAGCATTCTCTTCGCTCATATCTAATCTCAAACCCTTATTTGTGTCTGCCTCCCCTCTCCTCCCAGGCTTCATGACGTACGTGGTGGAGCCGCTGTTTGCAGAGTGGACCCGCTTCTCCGACACACGGCTCTCCCATACCATGATGGGCCACATGAGGCTGAACAAGGCCAGCTGGGGGGCCCTGCTGCGGGAACAGAGCTCCGTGGCGGCGGGGCCCAGCTCGCCCGGCACCGACCCAGAAGACGGCGGCGCCGCCGCTACCGGAGGAAGCAGCTCCAAAGAAATACCTCAGGGAAGCAGAGAATCCTGACACTCCTCGTGAGCCCCCTTCACCTCGACCCCTGACCCCTGACCCCGGGGCCTGCAGCTCCACCTGATCCCTAACTCATGTTTTTTTTGCTTTTGCCTCTCATCTTGATAAACCACTGATTTTATTTAATTTATTTAATTTTTAATTCCTCTTTTTTTGGCATAGAGCAATACATAGATACCTCATTTGGCTACTGCTGTATTTTTCTTTTATTTGCTTTGTTTTATTTATTTGTCCACTGTAGTTGTTGGCATTACTGACTGAACACACCACTTTGTTTGTTGGTGAACCTTAAGGGGAAAGCAGTATAAGAACTTTTTTTTTTTTTTTGTTCTGGTATTTTGAAGTGCCATTTGAAAACAAAGATTTGAAGAATGACTGAGACAACTGGAGTATTCTGACATGAGACCCTCCTAAGACTTTAACTCAATGCCGTGTTGCATTTGTATTGAAGATTCTTCCTCATCAAAAAAAAAAAATGTGACAAGCCCAGTCCTTTTGCTGCCTCTACGAAGACTGTTTACGCATCTCCTTGTTTGTTGTGACTTTCCCTTGAAGTGAATCACGTCGGCTCCACGGTTTGCCTTTCGACGCACAGATGTGAAGAACCACTCGTTTGAACTGTCATCCCACTGTTGAAGCCATGAGCAGAACCTTACTCGACCACACCAGATGCCATAAGTAACTCCACCCGTGTGCTACCATGTGTCCTTTGCACTCCCGAATAAAAGACAGTGGTGGATGTGCAGCGACCCGCGAAGGTGTTGTAGTCCTTCTCCACGTATCTTCCAGTGCTGGTTGAACTCGGGGGAGCGTCCCCAACCCCCCCCACACCCCACACTGGAAATCAGATACTCACTGCACATGCATCTCACCTGGAACTCGCTCAGGGTCTCTTATCACGAAGGAGGAGGCGACTGCGGACGATGCAGGGTTGCGTTCCTGGCGAGGATCTACTGAAGGAGACCCTCCGTCTCCGCAGAATGTCTCTCTCAGCCACATGCAACCTAAAGGACTGCTCGATCGATGCCTTATAACTATGCACAAACTATGCTAAGTGACCAAACCAGCTCCTGTTCCCATCAAGTGCATGGTGTGCTTGTCTTTTGAATGCACTGTCCAATCCCTTTTTGCCTTTTTGTTGTGAGGAACAACTCCAGCTGTCCTTCTTTTTTTTGTACCGAAACAAAAATGGTCGAGTGACTTTGAACATTCCACTTCTTCGTGTTTGGTTCGTCTACTCCGATTCTGTATAGTGGCACAAATCGTCGTTTGTGTTTTTTTTCGAAAGATAACAGGTGCTTTTCTTACTTTAGCTGATTTGTATTTTTGCTGTAAGTGCTGTAAGACTGTTGATAAAACTGTTTACAATTTGTTGCGACAGCCATTTTTGGGAAGACTTTGGTGTCGAGCCAGATTTTGTAAAGGCTTTGCTGTATTGACCTTTTTGATACATGCCTGTTGCAGTTACGATTTGAATAATAAAACCTGTTGTTGACTAATGTTTTCTTTAAGTTTCACGCTGTTTTAACATGTCGAATACTGAAGTTTAACGGGGTATATTATGCTTTTTGGGGTTCCCTCTCCTGTAGTGTGTTATTTTTTTTATTTGTGCATGTAAAATGGTCTGCAAAGGCTAAAATCCCTGTGTCCCTCCGGGGGATTTTCTCTCTGATACAAGTCTTCAAGTTTGAACCTTACAATTTAAACCGAAGGCATTTGACTTTCAAGAGGTTAAAACTCAATGACGTACAACACCAGAGAAAGTTAAGACAGAAAATAAACTTTATTTAGAGATTTGACAATTAAACAATTTTGATGGAAGACAACTCTTCTACAAAATCCTACTACTGACACACCCAGTCCACCTTCCCTTATTAAAAAGGTAATACTAGTAGAGTTGACTTAAAGCAGCAACTACTCTTACATGATCGACAGAACGGAAACAAAGCAGTCAGTCACTTTGAACAAAATACTAAAAACCTCACGACCCTGAAGAATCTGCATCTTAACAGGCATGGAAATGTGATGATTACTGGCACCATTGGAATGATACATGAACAGTGGGTACCTTAGGACCCATGACTAAAACATGTCAATATAGTGTTTCTTACTGAGATGAACCGAAGCATGTTTTGTGATAAAAAGGCACCTCTTACTGCTCCTTTTCTGTTAATGACCTAGACATTTCACAGTGTCTGTTTTCATCACTGTTTAAGCATCGTCTGTACACAACGAGTACATGGAAAGATATTTGGCAGAGAAAGGCAGAATCTCTCAGATCGCTGGAATGTCTTTGGTTCTTAATCACAGATCGCACTGAAGAGATCATTTCAACAGAAGACACACAACACAGATAAAGTACAAACTCTTTTTTAAAAGTCACCCGGAATTAACACTGGGAAAAATCAACCACATAATAACTTGTGTTAAACTCTTAATTATCTACTACAACATAAATAAAAGGACCCCAATCATAAATTAGTCTATTATACATGTATACAGCACTATATTCCACGAGTAAGAAAGTGCTCAATTTCTCCTGTTGAATAACTCAGCTTGACAAACGCCTTCGTAACAAGGGGAATGCAAACATGACCAACTGTGATACGTGCACTTATTAATATTATTCTGTAGTGTTGCTGCCACAATCACTCTGGGCTGATATATGTTGAACACAAAACAATAAGACATTCAGTTAAAGTAAATCATGTTCTTAAAACAAAAAGCTAATAATATAAGTTATAAAAAGTGCAAAGTCAGACGGTCAAGGTGACTATCGGGTACAACGCTGTGAGATGACTGGTACTCAGAATCCCTTGTTCTTCCACAGAAACTGCCCTTATTTAAAAAAAGGTAGGTAAGGCACTTTAAAGTGTCCGCAGCACATCTGCAGCTCGAGCTCAGATCAACTTCTTTTTGCCCGCGATTTCAACATGTGCTGTCCAAACTGTGGAAAGAGAAAGACAGAATAAAGTACATTAGATGTCAAATTACATTACACTTGTTTCCAACGATGACGTGAAAATAATAACCTGAAATTCCATCTTAAGAAAAAAAGCGTTAATTTATCCAAACATGTTTCAGTAAGAGTTGTTGTGCTCAGGATTAATAAAAGGCTGATTTTGAGGTGTCTGTAGCTTCAGATAACAGCGATTTAAGAGTAACTTCTCTCACCAGAGGGAGAGCTTCCGTTCGGGGTTTCACATCTGGAATGGGAAGCTTGAAATCCTCCTTGTCTTCTGACTCACTGTCATTTCGATAACGATGAGCAAACTTGCGTTTCAGGGCTTCGGCGATGAGAGAAGCGGCATCTAAAGGCTCGCTGGACTTCATTTTGGAATCACCTTCTCCTGGGCGACTATGGAAAACACAGTTAGGCAAAAAAAAAAAAGATACTAATTTAATTAATTGTGTGGTTTACAAACAGGTTTTTCATTACAGTAGCAAGCAAGTGTTGTTTTGACCACCTACTGTTAGCTTGGATAAACATGCATCCTCTTCAAAAAAACCTTTATCTTGACATTTGATCATTTTCTAAATCTGTTTATTTATTCCCTCGTACCTTTTGACCGATCGCAACTTCACTTTGCCGATGTCTTTCAGGACGTCGAGCATGCTGGGGACTTCTGCTGGCCTCGAGTCCAAATCTGTGTGACCCTCCGTCTTCATCCCCCTGCGCTGCTTTATCAAATCAATGGCAGAAAATGTCCGCTGGAGGCTTGAAGGTGGGGGCGGCAGCGGAGGGGGAGGGGGCGGTGGAGGAGGGGGAGGCAGGGTGCCACAGGGTGGAGGGGGAGGTGGAGGTATCCCTGTGGTAGCAGCTGAGGTGAAACAAAGGAAAGAGAAGACTCAAAGCTGTGTGACATTTAAAAGTCTGCTGCCATCTAGAGGACATTGTATGTTACTGCAATGGATCAGGCGAAGGGAAAACAAAGCAGTGCATTTATAAGAGATTAGTGAAAGGAAATACCTGGCTGTGTGCTCTTTTCCTGAAATAAAACGATTTGTGCTATCTGAGCTCGGAGTTTGGCGAGTTCTGTCTCCAAAGCGCTGATCTTCTGATTGGCCTCATCGCTGGTGTTTGTCTGCCCCTGGGGGTCCGGGGGCCCCTGATGCAGGCTGGGTAGTGACATCTGGCGGGACAATGACCTCTGACGGTGAGTCTCGCGGGCTCGAAACACGAGTCCTGCTGGGACCGCTGACCTGTTTCAAAAAGGCATTAAAATGTTTTAGACCAAAACTCACAGAAACAGTTCAAGTGAAACACTCTCTCCGCTGTTAGCAGACAGAGACCCACCTGGGTCTGCCGATGAATTCTTCCTCATCCTCCTCGTCCCTGTCGAGCCAGCCGACATCAGCCAGAGAGGCCAAACCACTCGGCCTGCTGCCGCCAATCAGGATACCAGCGTCCTCATTGTACGGGTAAAGCTGTCACAGAGAAAAGCGATAATCAAAAACACTGCATTTCAACAACTAATACAAGTAAGTGTGTGAAAGGAAACGGGGCTAGTTCAGAGAGAGGAGGTGTGTGGGGGGAGGGGGGGGATCTGTACGATGCTAATGAAGGGTTCAGGTACTCAGTAATCAGCTGGAGGTTTTGGAAGGTTGCTGAACACACTGACCTAAAGCAGACACACTGCATTCCACAAAGCTAGGGGGGGGGGAGCTGGAGACAGAAGGACAGAAGAAAAAAGGAGAAAGCACGGTGTTGAAAGAGACAGAAAAGGAAAAGCATTTCAGATATGCCTCTTTATAGAAATATCTAAAAATGGTGACCTTTAAATAGTTTGGTGAAAAAACATATCTCTGTTCACATGGCTCTGCTTATGGGTGATACATGGAAACAGTTCTGAGGTAAGCAAAAGCTGGATGAGGGCTGTGATTTATTGTCACATGACTCCGACAGTGAGGAGCGACAGGCAGAAAGACAGAGGAAGAGATTTGGAGACTAATTCACTTTGACACACATATAATGAATTTGATGATTATGTAAATGCCCTTACCTGAAAATGAACCCTGGGGCAGGGTTTAAAAGGAAGACTAGAAGCTATTCTCCTCACAATACTTCTAGAGGACCCGTAGGTCTTGTCTGATCCAAAAGCCTGCAAAACAAAACATGAAACGCATCATTTAGAGAGATGGAAATAATACATTTAAACATTTAAACTAAGGGCTTGTATGTATTTAGCAGACAAAGGTTGTCACGTACCAGGTCCATTTCAATCCGTGGATTGTCTTTATTCATTTCTGTTGATGTGTACTACGAGGGCATTCAGACACATGTCCTAAAACCAAAAGGCATCATCACCAAATGGTCACCTAGAGGAAACACAAAGAAAGTGTTTAATTTGAATCATGTTGAGTCAAGGAGAGGAGCTACAATAGTGCAATGTGTAATAGTGATAAGATGCTCCAAAACAGACATATATTCTTTATTTTTCTGCAATAAAATACTCTTTCCAAAATGACAATTGCTGCCAATAATTATTATATTATAGAATGTCAATCCTCATCAATTTCCCCCAAGTGTTTAACATGTTTAACAGCTGTCAAAATCAAAGTTAAGTAAGTAACATCTTTACAGGAATAACTTTAAAACAGTTCAAGCTTTTTAATTGTTTATTTTAGCAACAGGATTAGATGCACAACACTGTAGGAAAAGTTTAACATTAACATTTGCAGCACAGGCAGGGACGCTAGCATGATAGCGTTTTGAAGCTAGGTTCATTTTTACCGCTGTTTGTTGTTTTAAGGGTTAAGAAGTTAAGCCAATAAAGCGGTAACGTGAGTCGGTCGCAGTTGTGTGGCAGATGTTGGCTGATAGCGTGCAAGTGACAGGATTAGAGGTTAGTTGAGCACAATTAAACAGGATAATCTTGACTTTAGCGGCTAAACGATGCTAACAAGGATAGCTCCGGCTAGCTAACTCCAGACAACTTTACAAACACATTTATTACGAGTCGACATTCCAAAGACACCCACAAGTCTAATCACATTAAACGCCCGGGAGGCAGATGCATATGTAAACGTTACAATATAATCAAAGATCGGTTGTGTGTGTGACTTTGAAACAAACTTACCGAAGCTGTAGCTGGCAAACAACTGTCTAAGTTTTTCCACCTTATCAACCGACGGACATCTGCAGTAGGGGGCTAATGTGGGAAGACTCAAGGAGTGCATTTTGAGCCAATTGGATTATATAGATTACAATGGGTAGGTTGTGGCCATGGGATGCTACGATTAGTTGTTCACATTGATTGACAGGCGCCAGCACCAACCGACTTCGACTAAGAAAAGAACACTAGCTGCTGATTGGGTGTAATATCAGTCAATCAAAGTATACCGTCCAATTATTTGACAGGAACTTTGTGTGTGCTCGTTATACTTCCCTTCATTCCCCGGCGGTGATGTGTCCTGTTTAAAGGGCTGGGAGCTTTACGGAGAATTGGGATGTCCGTATTCACAAAACAGCTGTACCCATTGACGTGCCACAAAACCCAAACACTGTGCACAGCTGCTAGCTAAAGAAGCATAGAAAGGAAAGGGACGCAGGCCTAGCGTTTGTGAAATTAATTTGTGACATTTGTTGTTTAAAGGTGGTGCCGGAAGATTTTGTAACGTCGTGTTAGCATCTGTTGTAACTGAAGTCAGCAGGGGTTGTCACATGGTTTTACTGAAAACTGACCAAAAAGGTATGCTATCATTGTCAAGTAACGTTAGCTAGCTTAGCTTAGCTGCCGACTCGCCTCTGTACCACAGGGCGTGTTTTGAGGTGAGGTTGGGGGTCGTAGTAAGTGTCTTTGGTAAACACGAATATTTGTATTATAGCTTTCTGAAATATATTAATTGTGTAAGAAGTAACTCATGTGATGAAATGTCATGCTAAGCTATGTATACTTTACTGTGAAAACCACAGTCCTATCAGTCACTTATCAAGAGTCACTTATCAGTCAGATTGTGTAGGACTACATTTCAGAGGCTATTGTTTATAAAAGAACCCGAAACTCAAACACATCATTCAAATGTGGTCTAAGGTAATGGGATGGTTGTTATAGTGTCATAGTGCCTGCCAAACACACTTGATTTTGCAAGTTGTTTATTTTTGCAGCAAATAAAAAAACAACAACAGTAACAACAACAGTTTTGCAGGAGATTGTGGATTTACATATAATTTGTCTACAATTTTGACAATAAATTAATGTTGTGATAGTTATTTTTGGACATGTTATGCATTTAATAAAATTACCTACATGTGTATCGATTCGTAAACAATCATTGGCTGCAGTTCTAATGTGTTTAATGTAAGCTCCCTGGTTGACCACATTTTTATTTTTCTCCAGCAGAGTGAAGCGGTTGGTTTGATGTGCATGGCATCCGGATAAGAGGCACCATGAGTGCGGAGCTGGACGCCCTGACCGTGGTGAACCAGCTGCGAGACCTGGCTGCGGACCCCCTGAACCGAAGAGCCATCGTAGAAGACCAAGGCTGTCTGCCGGGCCTGATCCTGTTCCTGGACCACCCCAACCCACAAGTCGTCTACTCGGCACTATTGGTAAGCAGCATCCATTTATACACATGGTGCATTTGCAATGTTCTAGCTGAACTATCTACTGCAGATGTTTGATTCAATTAGTCTTGGTTGAATAATCAGTTGTGTGGTGGAATGTAACAACAATGTGATATGATATGTAACGTGCTGTACTATGAAAGACCCCAGTGTTTTAGGTACTTAAAATGTCTTCCTCATTTACAAACTACTACATAAAAAATAAATATTCTATATTAATGCAATACTGTAAAAAGAGCCTATCTGAACAATGAGCACTTTTACTTTGAATACATTAAGTACATTTAGCTGACTTTTAGCTGCTTTTACTTAAGTAACATGTTGAGTTCAAGACTTTTACACATATTAGAGTATATTGAGACTGTAGCATTTCTTCTTTTACTAAGTAAAGATTCAAAGTACTTCTTCCAACACTGCTCTTCTGCTGCTCTGTGATATCAGTGTTTTCTATACTTGTCATATGTTGCCCCCCCCCCCCCCCCCCCACACCTCACTTCCTGCTTTACAGCAGTCAGAGCCGGTTTCAGTGGGTGCGTCTCACTTCGGTTAAATGGATTCCTTGCGTCCCTCACTTGCGTCGTTTCCCTGCAACTAGTCCCTCCCACCAGGGAAGCATGGAGAGACGCAAGGAAACCACGAGAAGCAGGGAAATGAGTTTTAAGAGCAATGGGAGGTCGTTTCCTCCGGAGCGTCATGTGAAGCGACGTCCGTTTGTGATGACGCCGCACAGCTGATCGTCTGACAGCAGCCAGATCAGTGCATGCGCTGCATCGTCCAATCAGTGAGTGATACACAGTAAGGGGGCGGGGCGAGTGTCTGAGGATTTCACCGGAGGATGGTCTGGTAGTTCCTCGATTATTGCTCCTCCGTTATCGCTCCTCGCTCCTCGCTCCTCGATCCTCGCTCCTCCGGCACAAATAAGGCCACTGGGACGCTACTCAAGATGGCGCAGACAAATCAACTTCCGGTGATACCGAGCCCGAGGAGCGAGGAAATGAAAAATAACCGAAGTGAGACGCACCCAGTGACAGTCTGAGGGCCATTCCTGACACCATTGTGTTCCAGTCACATGCTTACATATGGTCTCTTTAAACAGCTACATTTAAAAACACTGTACTGTGGTGACACCTGCTGTCTGTTTTGGGGTGTAAACGTGATACCATGTCTTCATATAGCAACATCTTTCCACTTCCAACTCTAACACCTTTTAGCAGTACATTCAAAGGCTTTATTTGTCATAAGCCCAACAGCTGCAGCGTAGTTTTGGCTCAAGTCTCGAGCTCCAACAATGCAACATACGATAAACATGAAGACATCAAATAGTGCAATAGTCAAAATGGGTCAATTAAGTTGCATAAATAAGAAAAATATGTACATATAAAATAAAATTATATTGTACAGAATGAGAAATGAAATACTGCAGAGTAGAATAAATACTGTATGGATATCAAGACTATAAACCGATGTATAATTCTACCGTGTACTTCACAGAGCTCAGGAGTTAAACAGTCTTACATCCTGGCTTGTATTGCGAACACTCATTTTAAAGGCTTTATGTAACAGTTGCTCCTTGGCGGTAACCCGTGAAGTGTAAACACACCGCGTGTTTCTCATGGTTACGTCATATTTTCCCATTGCACATGCTCACCCATTTTAAAGTCTCCTCTCTCTCTCATGATATCACAAAGGGTCTGTCAGCTTTCAGCGGCAGATTGATAACCGCTGCCCTTGTCCTTGCAGGCCGTGCGCTACCTGGCAGAATGTCGAGCCAACAGGGAGAAGATGAAGGGCGAGCTGGGCATGATGCTGAGCCTGCAGAATGTCATGCAGAAGCAAGTCCCTGTCACCACACACACACACACACACACACACACACACACACACACACACACACACACACACACACACACACACACACACACACCACACACACACACACACACACACACACACACACACACACACACACACACACACACACACACACACACACACACACACACACACACACACACACACACACACACCACACACATGCTCACTGTGCACTTTCTTTACATAAAACCATAACCTAGGATTTCTTTGTTTTGCACAGACAATGTGTGCCAGTCTGCAGATTTTCTCGTTAGAATGATGTCCTTTCCTTCGACATGTCAGGATGAATGTGATTAAAGATGAATTAGAGTAGGGTGCTAAACAGTTAAACTGCTGTTTCTGCAGCTTTATAGATTTGAATGTGTCTTGCCACATCTACTTTTCATGTTGAGTCCACTTGCATGTTTTTAGCTTATATTTGCACTTGTTTTGTTGTGGAGTTAGCAGGTTCGATGCAGAGGTGGCTTATTTTGTGCACATGCTATATCAAGCATATTTCTTAGTTTTGTATAATTTGTAGGCTTTTCTGGTAGGCTTTCTACACAATATGTGTTTATATATAAAACACAGTCTGGTCAACCATTAAGGCTACGTTTATGCTGCGGGTTAAACTTGGAATTTCTTATTTATTGCATATGTGATTGAGTGTGAACCGCACAAATCATAAAATGTGATCTTTCCGATTCTGATTTGGGCCACCTTTTCTTATGTTGTACTAAATCACAGCTCTGATCGTTAACATGTCTTCTGATTGACATTCGTCACAACTTTGCGTCTTTTCGAGAGGCGTAATCCCACCGCTCCTGGCTTTGACCCGGCATCCACACTCACCTCCAAAGTTGTAGCAGCTATTCCTACACACAAAGCCATTATTAAAAACTAGGGATCCAAGTTTTTAATAATGGTTTGTGTGTAGGAATAGCTGCTACAACTTCGAATGTTAATGTGACTTCACTGGCCTCCACGTTTACATCTGTTCGTCTGCGTTCTGCTCTCTTGTTTTCTTCGGGTCAGTTCAGGACCGTAAGAAGCTCACACTGGAACCTGATATGAGCCACATCATATCTGAGCAATAAATCAGAATTGAGGCTTGCAGTGTGAACGCAGCCTCAGTGTTTGGCAGGTCTGTGTTGAGGAGGTGTTGTGCTCCAGATAGCTTCTCTCACCAGAGAACACTACGCGACTGCCGGTCATCATCAGCACCCTGATAGGAATAGACCTAATGTTTAAGTGGCCGGCTATAGCCTGTATGATTACACCCCGCCTCCTCCTCCTCCTCGTCCTCCTCCTGCGGCAGAGCTCTCTTTCTCACCCTGGAATGAGCGCGTCACTTTAGCTCGTCAGGCATCAGAAGCCGCCCTGCAGGAACAGCTTCAGTCAGGCTGACTTTGGGTGGAGGTCGATCATAGCCGGACAGAGTGGCAACACATGGCAGAGGACGGGGGGGGGGGGGTCCAGCATAGTCGCACCAAACAAGTGTTTTTATTTACTTTACACTCAAGATCTGGAGCTCAAGCAGCCTCTTATTAAATGCATGGAAGTAAAGAATAGAGTAAGATATCAAAGAGGGCTTCTATGGATTTGGAGCAGGATGTGTTGTTGGGGGGGGGGGGGGTACCCAACGCTCCCAGAGGGCAGCAGCTCCAGACAGACGGTGTCGTGTGTGGTTACTATAGAAGGACTGATGACTTGATGACATATGAAGCCTGCAGGTTTATCT